ACAAATGAAAAGACAGAACGAGAGCCCAAGGCTCTGCTTCACCCTGACCCTCCCCTGTCAGTTGCTGCCTGTGGAGCTCCGAAGGTTAAAGTGTGTGTGTGTGTGTGTGTGTGTGTGTGTGTGTGTGTGTGTGTGTGTGTGTGTGTGTAAGGGGGGGGGGATGCAGGACCAAAAATAATTAGAGTAAAAATAATTAGATGTAAGTGCTGTTGTTGAAGCATACACAGCTTGTACAGACAAAACGAGGATACAGGAATGCCCAGGGCTGAATGCAAGCCTCCCTCAGGTCAGTCTGGCAGGAAGCAACATTGACCTGGGGGAGTGGGAGGCTGGTTGCTGGGCATTAGAGAGGCTTGGGATGAAAAAGGTTTAAAAACTTACAAATACAAGTCTGGCGTTAAAGCGGTAGTTGAAAATAATGCTAATTTTCATTCTGACAGAGAGATAGATGAGAAGCTCGATGTCACTCTCACTGATGTTAAATATGAGGCTATAGCCAACAGCCAGTTAGCTTAGCTTAGCACAATGACTGGAAACAAGAAGAAAGCCTGGCCCTGTCCAAAGGCAACAGGATCTGCCTACCGGCACCTCTAAAGCTCATTAGCTAACACGTTTTATCTGTTATGTCTAATCTTTCCCCCCTTGTTTCAATTCTTTGTGCTAAGCTAAGCTAACAAGCTGCTGGCTGTAGCAGTATATTTAATGAACAAGCATGAGAGTGGTGTCGATCTTTCATCTAACTCATCAACAATAAGGGCTTTTTACAGCTTTAACAGACACACCGATGGCTGTAAACATTGCACACAGGGGTTTATGAGGATATTTCTGTTAAATAATGATAAATAAAGAAAATAAATTAACTCTTCAGTTCATACAATTCTTGTTCATGTTTCAGTTTTTTAATCTGCTACTTCGGAATCTCACACACACACACACACACACACACACACACACACACACACACACACACACACACTCACACACACACACACACACACACACACACACACACACACACACACACACACAGACACACACAGACACACGTTATAAAACAGCAGACACAAGACTTGGATCACCTGAAACATCATATTGGATCAATGATAGTACACAGACACACACACACACAGACAGACGCACATACACACACACACACACACACACACACACAGACAGACGCACCGCGCGCGCACACACACACACACACAGACAGACAGACGTGCACACAGACACACAGACACACACACACGCACACAGACACACACACACGCACACAGACACACAGACAGACACGCACACACACAGACAGATGCACACACACACACACACACACACACACACACACACACACACACACACACACACACACACAGACAGATGCACACACACACACACACACACACACACACACACACACAGATTGCTTTGGAGCTGGTGACATGGGTCAGCGCTTGTGGGGGAAACAAAGCTCAAGTGAAGCGAGAGCAGAGGGCTCAGTCACGAATGTGGCGTCACTCCATGCAGATCAGTGTGGACATTTAGAGGCAAGCCGCCGCTGCACATATGTGTACTCTACAGAGCGAGGATGGACGGACAGACAGACAGTCTAGTGAGAAGCAAGAGGGACATGTTTTAACGAAAAGGTCAGCGCCGTAATTAGAAAAATAATGTGCTCACGAGAAACGTGACATGAAGCAGGATGAGAAATGTATTGTAGAATTAGTGTGTATCAACGTCTACGCCATCATTTTTTTTTAAACCAAAAATCTAACATGTTTTATCTTTTATAACCTCCTAGAATGGATGTGTTAACTAGACCATAAGGAATGAGACACATTGTACTGCAACCAGCAAGCGCACTAAAATACCTGAGACATATGAACAAAAAGCTAAGCAGTGGGAGGTCAAGGGTCAATGCTAAATGAGAGGGTATGAGTAAAAGCAACTTCAAACGGGTGACAACCCAGAGGTCAAGGTACGATCAAAGCATGAGACACTAAAACAGTGCCCAAAAGGACCACATGCCCTTTAAAGGGGAAGAAAACTGCCAACTGCCATCTGTGTGCATTTCACTATCTTCCCTTCATCTCCGCTCTCAGTGTCCTTCTAACTCTTTCATTTTGACTATGACGGGCTGCCCCCGTTAAAAAAAATAAAAATCAGTAAATAAATAAACAAATAAATAATAAACTTGCATTCCTCCCCCCCTCCCCGAGGCTGGGCAGTCCATGCAGGAAGGTAAACATGTCCACTGTGGTGAGCTCAGACCACGCGGATGCTTCGCTTCAGGTAACAGTCGTCCTCCACAGCTCTGCGCCCACCAGCAACATCTCGGCATTCACTAGCAGCGCAGAGTAGCCTATGTCTGAACAGATTTCCGCTTCAGCGCCAAACCCCCCCCCGCCCCCTCCTCCTCCTCCTCAAGCAAGGACATCCATGGATTTGATGAGGAGGTTGATTCAAATCAGGATCAACAGTCTGACCTCTACCTACAGTACCTGGCTGATGGCTTATATTCTGTCTGGGAAAGCATCACCTTTCTGATTTTTGAAGTGTTTTCCGTAAAGACAGACCGGCTGTTAAATAGCTTGTAACTCATTCTGGAGGCTTAGTGGGCGTTCAGACTGAAAACAGGCCTTTGTTAAAATAATGCAAGGGGTTGCACTGGTGGGGGCGTGTTGCTTCAGGTACCACTGAGATGAATAAGTATGATCGAGGAACTTCAGTTTAAGTAACAGATCCACAACTTTGAAAGCTTATGAGCAAAACCCTGCATGGTGGGACTATCAATCAGTGACAATCGCTTCATCTTTCATTGCGATGATTGTATCAACACAGTGGTCCCTTTAAAATGAATGAGAAGGATGCTGATGACGCCTGAGTTGGTGTTCTTTTGCACAGCAGATGCAAAAAAATGAAAATTGATCTGCAGACATACAACATAAATGGCAAATGTACACTGAGGTTTTTCTGCATGTATTCAGCGCCTCATTTACCAAGGCAGCAGTTCATTACACAGTCAGAACCTGGTAGTGCGCTGTGGATGCATTCTGAGAGAGAAGGAGAGCTCAGTAAGCGCAGCTATTGGGTTATTATATTATTTAGCATAGTAAGACCAATCAAAGACACACAAGGGACCGCAACCGGCAATTTTTTTTTCACAATTTGCGTGGCCTTAGTAAATTCAGCACAATACAACCATTTTTAGCATACCTGCTTTTATTATTTGCATGATCCTCCTTAAACACAAATGAGGAGAAAGGTGCATCTAACAGAAATGACGTGCTAACTGCAGCCTGGCGCATCAGTTTGTTCAGGGCATAATGCGTCAAATCTGTGATTAAAAAACCAACACAATAGTTGCCGTGAATCTGGCCCTGTGCGTCAGATCTTCAATTTGACAAACTTGCGGTTCATTCTACAGTGAATATATAGGGTATATCTGTCTGCTCAGTCAGGAAGCACTGTATGAGTCAATTAATTGCACTTGAACTGCTCTACAACTGTATGGAATTACTTGCAATGCAGAAATGAATGCACAAAAGGAACCGAGTGCAGACAGCATTCACACTGACAGAGCTAATTGCACGACAACTGTCAAACTGAAAATCCAGGTCATCGGTTTGGCGTACAGTACATTTGTGTTCTTAGAGTCCAGCCTATATGCTTCATAATCCCGTTCCTCTGTAAAGCGTGGGTGGACAAGGTGTGGGCTGATGTTCATTACTTTCCTCTCTGCGAGTCAATACTCTTCCTTAGTCTTCAAGCGCTCCCATGGTGATACTATGTATACCCTAGCTGCCAAATACAGCATAATACGTGTGTGTGTGTGTGTGTGTGTGTGTGTGTGTGTGTATGCACATGTGGAGCAAAGAACAAGATATGATTAGGATGACAGGAATGTACATCCACATCCAAGATTTCGTCTCTAATAAAATCACTAAATATTACAGAGAGTTCTTCTTTGACAACATTGTGTCAATGGCTACACTGCTACCACCACCCACTGGTTAAAGGTGTCAGTGTGTCTGCCTCGTTTTTCAAAAGCCGCTGCACAGAAACCTCCAGCAAGTGACAGCATGCTTGTTTGAAAAAGAAATGTCACCAATAAGAGCTCCCCTCAGGGCTGAGTCTAGAAACTTTCCTTTCGCAAGACACACAGGTAAAAAAAAAAAATAAATAAAAATTCTTCCATCATCGTGACCGGCAATGCGGCTGTAGGATATGACTTCCACTTTGAATGAGTCCACTCAAAGCCTGCTGAGGGGAGTCTCGGTGCTCCAGGTCTCAGGGACATGGGGGACAAAGGCTGATGTGAGGCTGATGGTGGTTGCTGTTTCCCTTATGTTTACCATCATTTCCCCTCACAAACAGAGGCCAGGCTGGAAAAGGCCAGAGAACCAGGGCCTCCAGCATGCAGGCAGTCCAAGATGGGGGGATAGAGAGTGAAAAGAGAACCGGAGAGAAGGGAGACAGTGAGAGAGGGGTAAAGGCAATCACTGATGAGAGAGAGAGAGAGAGAGAGAGAGAGAGAGAGAGAGAGAGAGAGAGAGAGAGAGAGAGAGAGAGAGAGAGAGAGTTCGGGCTAAGCTGCCTCCAGACACCACGCGGCTCAGAGCAGATCGAGAGTGACGGCTTGCTGATTAGTCAACTCACAGCCCTCAAGACCGGAGTCTGCATACATGTACGCACGCACACACGCACACACACACACACACAGTTGCATTGCAGATCATTTGAATAAATCCTGCCGTTATCATTGCACACATAAAAAACACATGGACACACACACAGGTAAACAAATGAAGACTCATGATATCTCATTGTATCTTAAGGGAGCTCATGTCATGGCAAAATCTACTTTGAGACTAACAAGTCTGCAGGTTTGTGTGTGTGTGTGTTTTTTGTTGTGTGTGTGTGTGTGTGTGTGTGTGTGTGTGTGTACATAATGGTGTGCACCCTTATTGTGAGTCAAAATGTGTATGGGTTAGGTGGTTTACCTTAAGGAGATAGACAGGGATGTTGCTGAAGTCCACAGGGAGTTTAAGAAGGAAACGGGCTGAAAACTCTCCCGTCTGGAGAACAAGGAACAGAGGTAAAGAACACACAGGTTATATGGTGATTTTTTGGTGTAAATCATGACGTAAAGGTGAAAACATACAGTCTGCAGATATAATTACTATCAGCAACAACAAGGCTGGGTAGTGTTTAAAAAATTCCAATACCTGAGATTCTGTAGCAGTTACACACACACATTAGTTTGGGGATTATAATTATTATTATGTGCTTTAACCCTTAACAAAATATGCTACTCAATTCAAAATGTTAAAAAAAGAACTAATGGATTGAAAGGTGAAAGGTTAGAAATGTTGTTTTATATTGTACTGTAAAGCAGCATTTGTCCTCTGCAGGGTTGTGTCCTGTCCCGAGGACAAGGACAGGCACATTCTTAAATTCACATATGACACAGTTGTTGTCAGTCTGTTTCATGGAAGTGAGTCATTGTATAGGTCTGTGGTCAGTGATCTTGTACAGTGGTGTGATGGGACTAAACATTTCTAAAACCAAATATACGGCTATGGACCTCAGAAACACCACTGCCACCTTCTCAGACCAGTTCTCAGACCAGTGCTGAAGAACACAAAGTGTTGAGAGCCATGGTATTTTCTGTGGAAGTTAAATGTATTTAATGCCGACAGAAAGCTGATGGTGCTATTATACAGATCTATCATTGACTTATTGTTGAAACTGGTCAAAACTGACTGTAAAGTTAGTGATGTCATAGCAAATCCAGACCATCATCTCTTTAAGGAATTTGGCATCAGAGGCACAGGTCTCCAGGTTTTTATTTATCCCATATTCTCTTCATTCTAATACACCCAAACTAAAATAAACTACCTCTTATCCCTGCTCTTAATGCTGCTGTTGTGCTTGCTTTTATCACAGGGACTTTTTATTGTGTTGTGTATTGTGTGTATAGTGCCAGCACTCTTCAATTGTCTTACTGTATTTTTATAGTTTTTATGTATTTATGTTTTATGTTTCCATGCTGCTTTGCTGCAAATTGAATTTCCTCTCGTGGGACAGTAAGACATAAAGTGAACTGCAGGCACATTTTGGTCAGCACTCAGGAAGTATTTAGGTTTGACACCCAGCCTTAATCAGCAAACGGAACACAGTTTTTCTGCTTAAAAGGGAATGTCATTTGCTCAAGTAGTGCAGTGATTGGTCGCTGGCAAAAAACTCCACAACTTTGCTGGAAGCACCAACCTACCCAGCCACCGCTAATAAGACCCTTCATAAGGCCCTTATTATGTCTTCTGTAAAAAACATGATGTGATTTTGCAACGGGCATTTCACAGACAGAATTAATTCAGCAAAATATATTCTTTATTTATTTTTTTTTTTTAAAGATATTGTTTTGGGTATTTTTGGCCGTTTTAGACTCCCCGGCCAGAAAATGCATCGGGGAAATTGCTGTTATAAGACATGCCTTAACCAATCAAAACTATGGGGGCATCAATCGGTTTTAAAGCTCCTAATTAATTGAAATACTTTACTTGATATATGCTTAATGCCTCACTGTGACATATTAAGCAAAAAAAGATTGTGCTCATCAGGTCATTAGTTTGGTTAATTATCACTTTCATTAGTTCCACAGTTTATTAGCTAAACACATTTTATGTAAAGATATTCGTGTTCAAATACACATGATATGAAATACAAACTCTGTTTTTGGAAGCATTATATCCCTGTAGTTCTAACAATTTAAAGGTCTGCTTTACATGCACTCGTAGTGTACATGCAGATGCCAACATGCTGGCACAGTGGTCTGAAAACCATGTACCATAAGGCAGCATATTGGGAATAGTCTAAATAAATGTTCCAAATCACAAACACATGATTCTGCCTTGTCTGACACTAGCTCTTTTGTACAGTCACACAGGAAGTCTTACTATATGCCATTTCCTGTGGAAATTTCTTCTGAGGCGTGCATACAAAATTGCATGTAATGATGTATAAGAATTGTATTCTATAAAAAAGCTTTTGGAAAAATGGCATAGGAGTGTAAAGTAAAGTCAGACCCTGCTCATATCATTCCATATCAACCTTTACAAAGCTATAGCAATAACATGTGAACAGTGTTTTCATGCATTTTCTTGCCATCACATGTCTCTAGTTTTGGAAACTTTAGGACATTAAGCAGTTGCCTACCCAGCTGTTCTTGCGTCCTGCATAGATCTCCATGTTGCGGCCGTAGTTGGGGTCCTCCAGCAGGCTATCATACTCAAAGAGCAGCCTGGAGCTTTCTCGCAGACGCTGGCACTGGTAGTGGTGGTACTGCTGGATAAGCTCCTTCACCAGCTGGAGCAAACATTCTGGGTTCCCGGCGTCCCACTGGACCAAGTGCTGAGGTAGACACCAGGGAAGAGGCACAAGGACAGACGTAAGACACGGCATTCATCTTTATTTTTGTTTCATGTTAAGAACAGGTTCAATTCAATTCAATTTAATTTAAAATCAATACAGGAATATGATAAGTATAGGAAGCAAATGAACTGAGAGGATTAGCAGCCTTCTTTGGAATCTACTGCATTTCCTATTGGGGCAGATTCGACAAGAAATCCTCTAAACTGAATTCAGGCACACAAAGAGATTTCAATATGGCATCAAAAACAATCCAAGCTAAAGTTCAAATGTAATTTAATAGTAACATCCTGATGAGACACACTGGAGCCAAAGGGACCATTTTTTATGTTGTAGATGAATACCAATTGTCTTGACCATGGACTCATTTGTTTCAGTATTATAGAAATGCACACAGCACTCAGACACCCAGTCTAAATTCTCGGGTAGACATGTGGTTAGATGATCATTTTGAACAACCATTGGGACACTTGGGAAAAGTTGTGAAATTATAAAGAGCAGGGTTATAATGAGTAGAAAAATGTGCTATTGTAGAAATAGGGATAGTTGGAAGAACATGGCAGAGGGAAAAAGGGCCTGGAAGAAGAAAAAAAGTCACAGCAATAGCCAAATCCTGACAAACAGTTTTTCCCATTACCAGATCAGAAGGAAACGGTTGTGCTGGAGGATGTCCTGCTGCCACAGAGTGATTTAGACTGATATGGAAAAGTACTGAGCCTGACCTCTGTTGCCATACTGATTTATAGCTATAGATTATAGATTACAGATAAGGGTGCAGTTTGTAGCACTCGGATGGTTCAATAATTTAGCATATTATTTAGTGTATCTTGCATGTCTAAATGGTCCATGGTGCACTTTTATCCATTACAAACAGGGTTTCTGACTTTTTTAGACTTTTTATATCGGTTATGGCCTGATATTTATATATTTTTATATTATATTATATTATATATATATTTTTTTTATTTTATTGTCTTTTGTTGGCATTATGTGCCTTTTTTACATATGTACCATGTACTTTACGCACAACTCTGGTTGTTTTAAATGTGCTATATAAATAAATTTGGTTTGATTTGATTTGATTTTAATTAAATTAACGATTCCATGTCGGTTTCACTTTGTAGCATGATTTTTCACAAAAATGCATTTAAAAGCAAGGCTGAAAATGAAACTTAATACAAGTAATGTTAACTTCTTTAATGCAATCAATTTTTAAAGGCCTGTCAAAATCATATTCAAGACCTTTTATATTATTGGTCTTTTTAAGACGGCACAGACACCCTGCAGCTTTCTGTCGAACCAACAGACTGAGGACAGGAACCAATATGCAAATTCACAGGACAAAACTACAATCATATCCAGCCACCTGTCACACATTAGTAAGCAGAAACGACCAAACGTAACCCTCCACCGGGCTATTTCTACCAAACAGAAGATTTTCCTCTCTTGAGGGGAACCTGTCCGTTGATGCGCGAGGAATAAAATGCTTATAATTAATGCAAACAACACTGTGCAAAAATAAATAGCAGGAAACATGTCAGGTCTAATAAAGACAAATGGATGGCTGAGCTCTTGAGAATGAATGCTGTGAGAGCTTTATAATGGAGAAGAAGAAATCAAGACCAAAGCAGGTTTAATGAATTTATGGCACTGTTTGGACTTTAAAATGAATGCTTGTAAATTTAATGAGATGTATGCTGCTTCTTTGAAGAGCTGGCCCATGTCAATTTTAATCTTCTCACACTCGCTACCTTTTCACACTGAGAAGATATGATTCAGTTTTTGCAGACTGAATGTGCAACAGGGGAAACCTCCCCCACCCCATGTCAGATTTAACGTGAGATGGGGCAGCATGTTTTGGGGAATGATGTGAGTCTACAAGTGAAAGTTTCTTGACTCAATCTGAAAGTGAAATACTACTAGCACACTCAAACTAAAAGTTGGCAAAAAACTAGATTCACAACCTCATGACATAACTGCAATACCAAAGTAACTGTGTAACTACAGTTCATCATCATTTCTCCCTGCCTTCTGTTTGCACTCAAGCCAGTTAAATACAGGTCAACCTATATGATGATGATGAAGACGATGAGCAAATCAGAACACAGACTCCATTCCGTTTTGTGTGTTTACTGAGTGGGAGGAAGGAGTAATACATGCTGGAAATACTGTAACCATTAATACCTGCTCCATTAAGGTGTCAAAAGCAGGATGTCTTTGTCTTGGATTAGGTTGTCTCCCTGACTGTCTGTCTTTTTGTCCGTCTGCTTGCCTGCCGCCTGCCTGTCTGCCTGGCAGCCCATATCATCCCAATGGAGAAAGCTTCCATTGTTTTACAGCGACCCACATCCCCCCTCCTTGCCACGGGGAAAGGGGGGAGGGGGGGCTCGATGGTAAGGCCAGGCTAAACAGAGACAGTGACCTCATCGTTCCTGATTACCAGTGGTTACCAGCAATGCCGGGATTCCCGAAACGAGGGGGCGATGCAAACAAGGATGGGCATTGTCCAAAAGAGGCAGTCAGTGCTCCGGGGCAGGAGCAAGCTGAAACTGAGGAGAGACTGAGGAAGTGCTGTGTCAGGATCCTGACACAGCATATCAGTGAAACTCCACTGAGGAGGAGGAGAGGCAGGGAGGAGAGATCAGAGGTGGGCGAAACGCGGGAGGAAAAACACTGTAGAGCTCGGGCAAGTAGGCCAAGGCCAATGAAAACAGGCCTGAGATTCAGTTTTGGTTTTATTGGTAGGGAATAATGAAACTGTGAACAAAATTGAACTTCTTTAATAAAATAAGTGACTGAAAGCGTCAGAGCAACTTTATTACTGTTTAAATGATAGAGTTGTGATGCACACACCTGAGACTGTTGTTCAAAGAATGCACAGGAACAAGAAAGGTTCCTGTGTGTTAGGACAGGAGTGCAGGAGAAACACGCTATAATCACAGTTAAGGCCACCTCATGCTCAGTAGTTAACCTCAGCTGTTCCAGTGGAGATATTCACTGGCCAATGACAGTGGGCCTGAGCTTACTGGGCAGCTCCCAGGTGAAGCAGGGTGTTGCTAGAAGAGATCTGGGTTGACTTCTCCCAGTAAATAAAGGCTATTATAAACACAGTCTGCAGTCATGCAAGCTGCACTCTGTAAAACTAAGGCACGGCAGCTTTGAGCCAAATGCTACAATTGGCATGCCAACGTGCTCGCAATGACAATGTTAACAATGCGGATGTTTTGCAAGCATAATGTTAATCATGTTCAGAATCGCAGTTTACCAGGTCAGCATGCTAAATTTACTAGTTTTGTTGAGTTCTGTAGGTATTTGGTCATAAAGTACTGGACAAATAAAAACTAAGATTGGATGATGGCACTAAAAGAAAAGTCAGAGGATCACTAAAGTAGTGATACACCAATACCGATGTACTTGTAATTGTCATCATAAAACTTCTCTAATACAAGGGCCACAATTAATCGTAATATTATCGAAATCGCAATATGCAAATGAGGGAGATTGCAATTTTTTAATAGAAGGTAAAATGTGTGACAAACAGCATTATAATATAATGTATATCACTGTAATGCTGCAGAGATGCCCAAACCTACAAATCTTGTTGTCCAGATTTAAAAAAACATTATCAGGATTTTAATGTTTTTTTCCAGACGATTATTCCCACACTAATCATATCGCAAACGCAATATCTGTCAAAATAACCGCAAAATGTCTTTACCATATTTTGCAGCCCTATCCGATACCGCACATGATAGATGAGTGATGCGTGAGATTACATAAACATCAGTATAAATCGTTAGTTACGCGGGTAGGCAGAGGAGAAGCATTGTCAGCAGTTTAGATTTTAGGCAAATTTCACAACATTAGCAACATGTGTCACAAAGTGAGAAACATCTGATTGAAATAAAACATGTTTTCAAAGTCACTGTGTGAGAAGTACTCAGTATCGGTAAATCCCCAAATCAAAGTATTTTTTGTACTTTTGGCCTTAAAAAGTGGTATAGATGCATCCCTACACCAAAGTCACAAGAATTCATTCAGACATTTCATTCAATACAAAAAAGGTCAACCAGAACTGACAGTCAGAATCAGTGGGATTTAACCTCTGGGAACCTGGAATGATTACAATTTCATGGAAATCAAACATTTCCATCCATACAGCTGTGCTGCTATTGTATCTAGAAACTCAGTGACGGCCAATAACAGAACACCGTACTGGTTCGTCTTGTATTGTACTGAATGTCCTGACATTGAGTTAACAAGGTAGTGCTGCAGCAAAGCTTTGGTCGAACATAGAGAGCGAGACAGTGAAAAGCACTGAGCCAAAAAGCAATGTCCATGTGTTGCAGTGTGTGTGTGTGTGTGTGTGTGTGTGTGTGTGTGTGTGTGTGTGTGTGTGTGTGTGTGTGTGTGTGTGTGTGTACAGACTCTTCACTGAATTGATTTTATACGCTCTGCTGAAGGCTGTGTGTGCCAAAACAAATCTATGTTTTTTTTTTTTTCATGAATAGGATAAGCCCTGCGGAAAATGTACAGATTTGATACATAAAAAAACAAAAGATGCAATAGGCGCAATCTAGGCTATTTGAGAGCTGAGATTTAACATTTGATGAAATGGACCGAAAAAAATGCATCTACATGTCTTCTACATCATTCTGTATGGAAGAAACATCTTTCTTAGGGCTTTATCCACAGGGGGTAGATATCATAGCCCTAAACAATACCCCCCTGGTTCAATCTGGACCTTATAATCCAATTATTTTGTCACAACACACTGGCTAAACCTGTGTCAAATGATTAAGCCTAACCTTGGCTTATGATAAAACCTGTCACTTCTAATAAACAAACCGCTGATACCTTCCTTTTTTGAAAAGAGCACATATCTGTAAGGGAAGCCGTTTATAATCGTATTACCTTGAGATATTAGGATTTGATTCAATATCAATGTTAAACACTGCATATTAAAAATATATTGGATTAGC